CCTGCCCTTTCTTCAGGGGCCTAGCGGAGCTTAACAACAAACTGTGTAACCTCCTTGGGGCCTTGCCTTGCCACCACAATCTGAACGAACACCCCGCTCCCCCCCACCCAAAAAACCCCCAACAACTTCCAATTGAACTGCGCACCTTATAGTGTAGCAGTATTAGCAGTATTGTGTTCAATTTGAAAAGGATTGTTTACACAAACTCTTCACTCCACGCGAGTGATGGTGTACTATTGTTGTACCATTTTGTGGAGTAGCAAGGATTCCACTCTGATTTTGTTCATAAAGTTTTAATAGTAGATTAGTAATGTCTGTCATCTGAAGGACATGATAGTCTATATCCTGCTCAAGTAAAGTGGGACACGAAATCAGAATTATCTTACAAGTTACAAAGGCTCAAAGGTGTCACGTTGAGATAGGGCACTGAACTTCATTTTTCAAAAGTTTGCGATTTGCGGTAGGCCGGTAGGTTAGTTTAGATTCTACTTTCTCGCGTTTAATTCAGGGGGAGGACTTTCGTAGCGAGCGATCACTCTGAACTCTATGAACGTAATACTCAATGGCCATCAAAATCAGTATGGAAGACCTAAAGCCAGTGTTTTTCTAGTCTTGTAACAAATGATGAAATTGCCGTGGTTTAGATCTGTTACGTGTACATGATTCTCTGAACTCCAGCGCAAAGTTTTGTCTAGATCTAGATCTAGATCTAGGCCCGACTGGAATTAAACACGAGAAAGTAAACAATTGCCCGATATTCCCCAACCCCAGATCTGGGTCTGGACAATTAACGCACGGCGTAAGAACAGATCATAAGCCTCTTTTTTATGTGTTCAGAAGATTGTTCTATCTCTATCCGTCAGAGTCTGACATGTCTCAGTGTGTGTGGTGTGGTGTGGTGAACAGTGGTGGGGTGTAGCATACTGTCTAAGTCTAGAGTTGGAGCTATTCAAACCTAGATACGCAGTGGCTACGTCTGCAGGCTACGTTCATGGTGCACATAGTTGGCAGGCTACGTTCATGGCGCCCTGAATGCAGTTTGCAGGCGTTGTTGAGGCTACGTTTACAGCACAAAAGCTTCATTAAGGGGGAGCGTCCACTGCCGGGTTAAGTCAGTTGGTTTTAGTCTGTGACGACAGTGACATATTAAATATTTTGGCCAGCTTCAAGTGTTCCATCCCATGAGATGAAGGAAAACAAAGCGCCCTTACAGAATTAAAGTCGGGATATGGGATATATATGGAAAATTGGAATACGGTACAAGGGAAACAAGAGGTGAGAAAGATGGGAAACAGAAGGTGGGATTCGGAAGATTGGACTGGTCATAAAAAGTGTACAATAACTGTATCGCTCCAGGTCATCCTGGGAACCGACGCACAGAGAAAATGATGGGGGGATCAATTATTCTTATAAATATTATAATAATGTCAAACACCCTCTCTCTCTCTCTTTCTGTCTGTCTGTCTCTCTCTCCCCTTTCTCTTTCCTTCTCTCTTTCTCTCCCCTCCCCCTTTCTTCTGTCTGTCTCTCCCTCACACTTTCTCTCCCCCTTCTCTCTCCCTCTCTCTTTATCTCCCCCCCCACCTTCTCTCTCTCTCCCCCCCCCTCTCTCTCTCCCCCCCCTCTCTCTCTCTCTCTCTCTCTCTCTCTCTCTCTCTCTCTCTTTCTCTTACTCTCTCTCTCTCTCTTTCTCTCTCTCACACACACACACACGCTCTCACACACACACTCTCACACACACACACACACACACTGCCCACAGACAAAATTGCACGCTTTCAACTCGAGTGCGCTGGAACGTTTGTTTACACTCGTATATCACGGGCTGTCACGCGCTAACGCAAAGTCACGCCAAAGTCTCGCCCGGACGCAAGATAGGGCTATTGAAACATCTTGGTAGTCGTATATATTTTTGTCATAGATCCTTTATTGCATTGTTACGTAATTGAGAGCTCGTCGTTTTCCCTTACACTGGCGAACTCTGAGCCAGAGCTCAGTGTAAGGGAAAACAACGAAGGGTCGATCGATCCAGGATCACTTCTTCGTTTTCCTTCATCTCATGGGATGGAACGCTTGAAGCAGGCAAAAATGTTAAATATACGTCACTGTCGTCAATGAATAACACCGGCTTACTTCTGTCCCTGTAGAATTATATAGTATGCAAATTTAGAAGCCAAATTATGCAAAAAAAAAGAGCAAAATTATGCAAAAATTGTGCAAGTTACTGCAACACCATTCGCGACATGTTTTGCACTTTTTCAACACCAATTTTCATGATTTTCTTGTTTTATGTACAGAAAAATTGAAAACAGAGCATATCAGTAATTTGTTGTGTATTTGGGAAAGAAAACAATACACATCAGTAAAAAAAACAAACAACCAAAAACAATAATCTCTGTAACTTTCAGCTGTAGATCTAGATCTATAGAGGAAAGAAAAAAGTAAAAAAAAAAAAAAGAACATCTGGACCTCTGATGCTGGCATATTACTAAAACCAGGGACACCTGTCAAACATGAAACATCAGCAGACATGAGAACAACTTTTGATGGATTGAAAAATTGAACAAGCTCAAGGAACAAAATCACAACCCAACCCATAACTTTGAGATAGATAGATCTGATATATTTCACCCCTCTTGACAGGAACATGGGTCAGCTGACGTCACGACAAGAGCTGATCAGTTCAGAGGTCAGTAACCCGCTCATGCGCAACTGGCTGTGTGCAAATTTGGCTGTGAGAGAAGCATCCAATGCCCTCGCCAGATATGTACATTTGAAGATATCTCTGATGCACAAAGAGATGCAGAAATCTGTTGGTGATTTGCCTGTGTGTGTTTTCAACTGCAGCAAAAGAGAATCTGCTTGGTGCTCTACATGTGAAAGGTTTGTTTTGTAACCTGTGGGAACTGTTGACTTTCTCTGGGCTCACTTGTAAAAATGTTCATACTCACAAGTCAAATCTATAAAGAATCTGTACTCTTTGTATTAATAATGAAAATGAGAGTTCCATGCTATTCCTGCAATCTTTCTTACTTTTGTCAAAGCCTATACTTATTTATGTGGAAAAATATTCTTCAATGAGAGATTCAGAATATGAAAAGAATTGGTTCAGTTTTTGTCACTTGACAATTGAGGCTATCAGCACGAAAATATGTCTTTGATTACTTAGATTACAATATAATGCAGAAAGGAATTAATATTGTCCGGGTCTTGATTGTCAAGGAAAGGCTTTATCAACGGGAGATAACCGAGATATAACCATTGTGGCAACAACTTTTGTGTGGATTATGTCCCTTGGATTTGCTTGCTGCATTTGCTGGGTTATTGTTTATAAAATTTTATTTGGTTTTAAAGTGAAAGACAATCGTTCTCTGCTATCTTTGTTCTGTAGCGGATAGTAAGAAGACATGGTTGTAATATACTAAATTTTGGCTTCTGATGTTAGCTCGCAATAAAATGCTGCTCAAATACACTCATCTGTTTGCCAATTTTAATCAAATGTTAAAAATTTTATGGCACGACCCTTTTTTTTTGTCCATTTAAAAACATTTAATTTTTGTGTTGATTTTATTGAAAAAACTTTGATAAAAGACACAAAAATGTTAATTTGCAGTTTCCAAGGGCACTGAAGTTGTAGAAGTCACCAAACTTTGGAAGCCGTTTTTTGTGCTAATTTTACCTTTTACTCCAGGCGACCCCCACCTCCTTCAATAGTAAAAATCTCAACTACCATTTAAGTTATATGGGTAGTTTTTCCATCCAAATCAAGACGAATGAACATTGTCATATATGTTTTATGTTAACCTCTAATTAATGAATGTTGTCATATATATATTTCATGTCTACGGGTGATTATTGTCATTTTAAAAATGTTTATCTATTATCTGTAATTACTGTTGTTTTTATATGTTTAATGTTTATCTGTAATGACTGTTGTTATATGTTTTATTTTTACCCCTACCTGAAATGACAGTTGTTATATATATATATGTTTTATGCTTATGTTTACCTGTAATATAATAATAATTATAGCGCATATCCATGCTCAAGAGCATGCTCTATGCGCTTTACAACCATTATAACCCCAGCAGACCCTCTAAGAACACTCAGAAACATTCTCGGCTTCCACGGAAGCTTACAGTGCAAGCTGCGGATTTCATGCGCTCAAACACTATCAAACTGACAAGATCGTTCACTGTCTATAGCCGGGTACCCATTTCCACCTGGGTGAAGTGAGGAAAAATTGTGCAAAGTGCCTTTCCCAAGGACACAACGTCGGGCCCCTGACGGGATTCGAACCCACGACCTTACGGTTGCGAGTCCGAGAGCCTAACCACTAGGCCACCGACTGTTGTTCTATGTTTTATGTTTATGTTTACCTGAAATGACTGTTCTTATATGTTTTATGTGTACGTCTACTGTAATGACTGTTCTTATATGTTTTATGTGTACGTCTACTGTAATGACTGTTCTTATATGTTTTATGTGTTTACCTCTACCTGTAATGACTGGTGTTATATATGTTTCCTGTTTACCTTAAATGACTGTTGTCATACATTTACCTTTAATCTGTCCCCGTCGTTTTATGCAAGAAAAATTCTGAAATTATGCAAACTGAGCCCAAAAATGTGAAATTATGCGATTCTGTTAACTTTTAACAAAGAATGATAAAGGAAAATAATCAGAAATTATGCAAGAAAGTATCAAATTTTGCTAAATTATGTGGGGTACAAAAAACCACGGGGACAGTTTAATTAACAACTCTTGTTGTTGGTGTCATCTGTACAGCTGGAGGAGCCACATCCTGGCGGCCTGTGAGAGAAACTACAAGAGTCATGTCAACTGGTCCCGTCTGAACTCTTCCCAGTGGTCTCTAAACCCCTACGAAGTCGGAAGGGCCTTTATCCCAAGGGCACATAGACTTTATTACAAGTCGGCGGAATTTCACGAGGATTTTCGCTTTTCTTTAAGTTTCTTGGAAAACTGCGAGGAGGTTCTCGTGCGCAGATCTTTGTGTGAGAGGGCGTGGCAGTGGCGAGGGAAAGTCCTGAGGAAGAAAGGAATCATGCGGCTTGGGTCGCAGGAGCTAGAGTCGTGCATTTCGGTGCTGGTGAGTCTGGTCTCTGTGTCGGAACTGCCGGAGAGAGAGACGACGATCGACAAGCTGAGGAGTCTGATGAGAGATTCAGACGAGGAGCACGAGGGTTGTGTTGTCATGTAGAAACCAAAAACTGGTGAGATTTTTGCCTGTGCCTTTCAATCTTTCGGTTGCTTCCATCTTTTTGAAACCCGTACAACACCTGACTATTTGTAGCCCTCACTTCCCTGTGGTCCAGGAAATACTGGAGTCCTTGACCTCTCAGGCCCAGCCACTACAAACAGTAGACTACAGTTTATGACTGTAACTTTTTGTCGCCAATAAAAAACCCCAAAAATTCTATATTGCTTTTCTGTACAGTTCAAGAAATGTACAACATTTTTCAGAGACAATTGGATGGATTGTTGCAGAGTACCTGGCTGGATGAGATGGCCGGTGCCTGTGAGGGAAATATGCCTGACTGGGACAGGGGGAAAGAGAACTCATGAGAGAATTATACGATATATAGGCTACGTGACTGGTACAGGGGGAACAAGAACTAATGTGGGAATTATACTATATATACATGACAGGGACAAGGGGAAAGAGAACTCATGAGGGAATTATACGATATATAGGCTACGTGACTGGGACAGGGGGAAAGAAAACTCATGAGGGATTTACGATGTACAGTCAAACCTGTGTAAGACGGCCACCCATTGTCAAGGAGAAAAGTGACCGTATAAGACAGGTGGCCGTCTTAGGCAGGACTGATCAAGATGAAGAAAACAAACCATTCCCATCTGAGGTCCCAATCGAAAATAGCCGCATTGTTGTTGTTTTTGTTGTTGGTGGTGGTGGTTTGTATTTTGTTTTTAATTTTTATTTGTTGCTGATTTTGCACAAGGGTGACAATAAAACGAAATGTATCAGACGAGGAAGACCGAGTGCCATATTAAAACAAACACATGGGTCTCCACCACTTGGAGAACGAGCGACGCTTCTATCACAAGTTCATGTTGACGTCCTTTGTTACTTTGTTACAGACTGGGTAAACAGTGACCACTCATCTCACGTACGATTAGTGTAAGAATTCTGGGCGGGGCTTATGGGTTATGAGGGATCACACGCTTACCTCACCAACAGCTGAAAATTAGTAGCTATTGGTCAACAGTGGGAGGGGACTACGCAACATATGATCGGTTGGAGGGACTACCTAACAACAACGACAGGTGATTGAATTATGACGGCTCGCCCACAACGCCAGGGGCCAATGCACAATTTATGACAAAACGTAATGGAGTCACAAAGGTGGCCGTCTAAGACAGGTATTATTGCTTAGTGTGATAGGGGTTGTGTGTTAAAATATGGTGGCCGCGGCCGTGTTGAACAGGTGCCCGTTTTACACAGTTAAATTATATAGAAAAAACGCAAGGGGGGAAATGGAAAGTGGCCGTTTGTGCAGGTGACCGTCTTATAGAGGTGGCCGTCAGGGCAGGTTTGACTGTATATGTGACAGGGAGAGGGGGAAAAGAACTCATGAGGGAAATATTCGTGACTGGGGCTGGAGGAATGAGAACTCATGAGGAAATTGTACAACATAGTAAAATATGTGACTGGGCTGTAACGGTGAATAATATGTAATGCTCAAATTTGTCAACTTTGTGTTTTTGACACGACATTCATAAACATGTAGGTGTATAAGTTCTTCTAAGCATGTGTGTGTGCGTGCAGGTTTGTTTCTTAGTGTGAGTGTATATATACAGTGGAACTCGGATTCAACAAGGTTGCCGGGCCTGACCTAAAATCTCTTTGAATCCGAGTGTTCATTTTTAGCAAACATGAGGTTTTGTGTAGATAATTACAGGCACTGAGCAAGTAATGTATAAAGAGAAGTAGCAAGTGGTGCCTGAAATGTCTGCATATTATGAGCTGTGAAAAAAAAGACTTATTCATTCAAATGCACGCCTGGGTCATCTCAATTGTTTGCCAAAAATTTTGTCGCTGTGTAGAGCCTAGCATACAGCAACTTTTGCTTCCATAGACCAGCGCACAATTCATTACGTGGATCAATGTCAAGACTAGCTTATCAATGTAATAATGGTCAGTTGCCGGGAGAAAAAAAGACTGACGCGTTTGTATCTGCGACGTTCCACACCCGGACTAATGGTGCCCCCCCGTGCCCCTGACACGCACACACAGTCACACGTGTTCAGGCCACCCGTCAGATCCCCACACACGCTAGAGTAGACATGTGCGTGTGCCAACAATGCATGTGTTAGTATGAAAGAAGGCTGCTGATTTGTCGCATGCAATCAGTTAAGCGAATAAATGGTTCACGATGCAGGCGCAATGGATGATTTCCGGGAATAGATGAAGTTCGTTGCGGGAGAAAAATGAGCGAAGCCACATCAGCGGGGGCTGTTCACCCTGGAAGCGACCTTGTTGAATCTGAGCTTGCTGATTTAAGTGTTCATTGAATCCGGGTTATTTTTAACTGATTTTTAAGAAGAAGAAAAAATAAAAGGGGCAATCCATCTCTTTTCATTGAATCCGGGTTCTCATTGAATCCGAGCTCGTTGAATCTGAGTTCCACTGTATACATGTGTGTTTTAAAATGTGGGTTTCAAAATGTGTATTTTTCTTAGATTGATGCTTGTGTCTATTATATAGATGTATTTCGGTTTTGTGTGTATGTGTGTGTGTGTGTGTGTGTGTGTGTGTGTGTGTATGTGTGTGTGTGTGTGTGTGTGTGTGTGTGTGTAGTGAGAGAGAGAGGGTGTGATTGTGTATCTGAGTTTGTGTGTCTGTGTGTGTGTGTGGGTGTGTGTGTGTACAGCTGAAACAAAATGTGACTTTCTCTATGGACAGTTGATTAACTGTATTTAAATAATGTCTGACAGATGAACTGTTTATTGAGCAAGAAAACTGATGGCTTTGTAGTTCAGTCTATAAATGGCACACACGACTGTTGTCTTTGTTGAGCATTTGTACAGCACAGACTGAACAAACATTGTAGCACCAGTAACTCATTATTGTGGGTGTCCTTTGCGGATGGGATGGGGTCGGGTCGGGTCGATCGCCCGACTCGTTGCCTGAAAACAAACGCGTATGTTTTTGAGGGTTAGCCGCTTTGCGCCCTCAATCTGGCCAGCAAACTGACCTGACCCGACCGTGTCAATGGGCTCCCCGTATGACTGTATTGTACCTTATAATTGTGGGAAACTTCAGAGTGAATACACTCACAGTTGAATATTAATTTGTGGATTTTACTATAATTTGTATACTTTTCCTTTAGTGTCATAGAATGTGTTCTTAAGCTGTGGATGCCTTTTTCAGTTCTGAAAGGTTATTATTACTAGGAAGCTGGAACTCTGAATCAAATATCTCTGCCCAGTAGGTCATTGCCAAGTGTTCAGACTAGCGGGGATCTCACTCCAGGTCTGTGGGCATCTGGTACAGCGAGATCGGTGAACAATTATGTCTGGCCCGGTGAACAATTATATCTGGTTAGTGGACAATAATATCTGTCCGGTGAGAGAATTTTAGGTGCACAGTCCATCCTCAGAATCCCCACAACACAGAACCTTACTCCGAACATAGAAGATTCTGTTGCCAAGAAAAGATGCCAAACATCCAGCTCTGACAAACAAGCATGAGAGTTGTGTGTGAGTGTTATGTACGTACATGTACTGCTAACTGTATGGAGGATTTATTACAAGTTGTGTGTTAGTGTTATGTACGTACATGTACAGCTGACTGTATGGAGAATTTATTACAAGTTGTGGGTGAGTGTATGTACGTACATGTACTGCTAACTGTATGGAGGATTTATTACAAGTTGTGTGTGAGTGTATGTACGTACTGACGTACATGTACAGCTGACTGTATGGAGAATTTATTACAAGTTGTGTATGAGTGTATGTACGTACATGTATGTACAGCTGACTGCATAGAGGATTTATTACAAGTTGTGAGTGTATGTACATTGTACATAGTACATGTACATACATGTACTGTTGACTGTATGGATGATTTATTACAAGTTGTGTGTGAGTGTATGAACGTATATATATATATATATATATGTACAGCTGACTGTGATTGCATGGAAGATTTGTTACAAGTTGCGAGTGCATGCATGTACACGTACATGTACTGCTGACTGCATGGAGGATTTATTACAAGTTGTGAGTAAAAGATTTCTGGAAAAAGGAATTGATCGTACGAGTGACTTCTCATTTTTTTCGTCCGTTCAAACATTCGTCTTTGTTCCATGGGGTGAGAATTTTTCTTCTCTGCTGGGTGCCTGTTTTTGTTTTGTTTCTTGGTTTTTTTGTTTTTTCTAAAGACTTTATGTTGATTAAATAGGCAAGATCTCTGTGCTGTGCAGTGTTGTGTTATGGTCAGCCAAAGGCCAAAGTGAAACATTATAATAAAGAAATTTGTACATATATTTTGTTTCATTTGTCCATAGATTTTACACTGTTCTTAGATTTTTGTGTGTATGTGTGTGCGTGTGCCTGTGCATGTGCCTGTGCATGTGTGTGCGTGTGCGTGTGTGCGTGTGCGTATGCGTGTGCGTGTGTGTGCGTGTGTGTGTGTGTGTGTGTGTGTGTGTGTGTGTGTGCGTGTGTGTGTGTGTATGTGTGTGTGTGTGTGTGTGTGAAAGCAATACATGATAGTCTAAGCCTGAAACTCATGGTTGTTGTGCAAAAGGCACCTGGGCAGCTAGCTACAATTATTTATTAAATTCTATCTTAAGTCCAGATCATGAAAGTCTGTCTCCATCTTGCTCCTAAGAATATCAAGTGCTATCTTTGTTTAAATGTTGAGGTCTGTAGACGGAAGAGTCGACCTATGTGGTTTCTGGGGAAAATGTGAATCAAAGGTCAAAGCCACTAAAACTATAAAAATACATGTGTGTTATGTTTTTGAAATGATCTGATGAACAGATACCGATGTCATCTATAGGATAATGTATCCAGTATACCCATGGCTCATTATCTACCACAGAAACAATTATAAAGAAAATTTGTATAGAGGCATCTGTGGTGTAGTGATAGTTTTAGCATAGAGATGGGCGTGGTCGTGCCTTTACAAACAACTCATCTGTGATTGATCAATGGTACGAAATAATAATATCAAGATGCACACACTCAGTGAAATGACTACTAGTAAGTCTTGTATGAAGCAGGCTGTTGGTTATGTAACACAAACTATCGTTATCTGATAACAAGTTGTCGCGAAGCTCAAACTGTCATTTAAAATAAAGCTAAAAAAAATAAAATAGGAAGATAAGTTACAATCCTCTCACTTGTGCTACTGGGATGTTTAGTGACAGGAGATATGGTGCGAAAACCCCAACATAGGTGACAGGAGGTAGGCTGAGAAAACCCCAACATATTTATGTGACAGGAGACAGGGTGAAAAACCCCCGACATACATGTACTCGTAAGTGACAGGAGATCATATTACATGTATATATGGTGACGCAAACCCCAACAACAACAACAAAAACTTTGGTGCACGTGGCCTAATCGTTGAACCGTGTGCTAGTGCATATGAACTGAAACCCATATATTATGTCAGGGTGGGCTAAAAACTGCAAGGCCACATTTTCTTTCTTTCTTTCTTTCTTTCTTTCTTTCTTTCTTTCTTTCTTTCTTTCTTTCTTTCTTTCTTTCTTTCTTTTTCTTTTTCTTTCTT